TGTCACAGCTGTTGCGCACGCTGCTGAGTTCCCATAACCTTTCCTCCTACATGTTGCTTTTTCTAATCCTTTACGCGAGCTTTGTGCTACTGAGGTCTCCTCTCTCTGAGTTACTTTTTACCACTTATTACTCATAATAAACTCTTACAGTGCGAATACTCGAAGCTGGGCTTTTGGAAATAGATTATCCAAATACAAATCATAATAATCATGGCGGTTTTTGAAAACAAAAGATTCTCATTGAATTTGCGGGCTAAAGCCTGAGAGGTCAGGTAAGTCCAAACGGTTTTTAAGTTATCAACAGTTTCATAGTTGCACATTGGATTTTTTTGGTCCGTTTACATTAACAGAGAATCTCTTGTTTTCAAAAAAAAAAAAAACCGTAAGTTCAAACGATTTGATTGGATTTTAATCTTTCAAGCGCCCCGGTTCAAGTAGTCATACTTTGTTAAACGCGAAAAACCAACAAATAGTCGCAGAATTAACTAGATTTAGAGTCGAATGAACGATTTAAATCATGATAAAACTCCTTGAAGCCAAACGGTGAAAACAAGCGAGTGCTGGAGAATAGACCTTTTTAGCTTGTATGTTTTGTCTTCCCTTTTCAGACCACTTGATGGTACCCCAGAGAACCGTTCCTTTCAAAAGTTGTCCTTTGCTCGTGCATCCACGAGCATATGTATGTATATTTTATGTATAGACAAAACGCAAAATGCCTTGACAACATCACGTGGTGTGAAATGGGAAAATAAAACATAAGCCAAAAAGGTCTATTGCAACAAGAGCCACTACAGCTCTTGTTAGAACTGAATTTTCTTCAGAAATATGGGAATCCTTGAACGGGACAACATTACTACATTACCTTTTTAGACGCCAGGTATTCCATTCCACGGGATATTTGGTAAGAGTAGTTTACAAGATTTGATATATTCAATCCTATCTCTGGGTCACTCGCAGTCGTAGTCCAGGTTGCTTCATAAACATCTCGCTTGCCTTGTAAGAACTTTTGTAAACTCCCATGTGGTGCATATTCCAGAATGACAAGGATACGATCTCGCTTGATACAAGCACCAAGGAGGTTAACGATGTTTTTGTGTTCTCCAACGTAAATTAGAATTTTCAGCTCTGATGCCAGGTCTCTTACTTCCTCTTTAGTAGCTCCCCCTGAAGTGCCAAAATATCGTACTCGGTCATTTTTAAAAAAGTGCAATTTCTTCAGGGGTTTAGTGGAGTCCATGTGACCATGTCACAAGCAACGTTCAGTTTAACTGGGCACAAACCTCAGCAATAGGAATGAGCACGAACGGTACTCATGCATGAGAGAGGCCCTATGCGAATTGCCTACCTCACCCATGCTGAATCCAGGGGCATGGCTGGAGTTTTTTCCACTGGTAGGCACAGATTCCCAAATCAACCCTACCCCGTCTCCCAAATCATTACCGCGCAGGTAACCTGGTAACTCGTCCCCTCCCCTGCATATTATCAGCTGCTACAGTAACTATAAACCAAATTCCTTTTTTGTCCCCCTCCACCAACCCCCGACAAGTACCAGCCATCCTTGCTCCATGGTAAATGGTACACAAGTTGAAATAGAGATCTCTTTACTTGAGACATTACCTTTAACAGTCTTTACAGCTACGATGGTCTTCGTGTACGCACTACCTCTGGGATCGTGGTACGCATGGCCGGCCCTGTGTTGACGAAACATTTTAGGTCGCCGCTGACTTTTCTTTTGACTTTTGTCTCTGGGACTAAAGTTGTTTATTCCTATAGCCTCTGCTTTAATGACTTCTCCGAAGGCCCCTGATCCTAGCAACTCCCCAAGAATGAGCTTGTCCTCAGGAAACTCGAAGTCAGGGTCATAAGGCAGATCATTACATTGTTCAAGCAGTGTAATATTAGGGTCAATCTAAAACAATCAAGAAATATTTTTTTACTTAACGTATACAATAGGGACCTATTTAGTCTAAGCAATGGTAAGCTAGTTCATTCCCTCCAACTGGACTCTGTTTGGTTCATGAGTATTACCTGAATTTAGAAGGCCATTTCAGGGCAATGGATCACTTTTTGAATCGAGTCAAGAATAAACAAAAGCCAGTTTAGGTTTGAAAAGTAGACTTAAATTTATGGCCACTCCGCAAAGAAACTCGGCACCTCGTTCACGGTAAGTCGAAAAAAAAAAAAGTCGTGACAATTTTTGCGGAACAGACTGGTCCGTAGCCTGAAATGAAATGAACAAAATGTCAGCCATCTTTACTATCCGTGAGTATACATCTATTTTAAAACGAGGAGCAATCTATGGTTGCAATTTTGCAAATTATGTCTGTCGACTGGCCTCGAACAAGCAACTCAGATGCTGATAAATGTATAACCATTCTCAAAAGTGTCCAACACCACGAGAGTTTACACGAATGTAAAGTGGCCATAAGTAAATCAACCCTGCACTTTCGAAAGGTTACTAAAGATTTTAAGCAAAAGAGAGTCGACGATGGTAACGAGAAGGTAAAACAGTAGCGGGTCGGATTAACAACCAAAAACTACAACTTTGCACGGGCCATCAAACTTAATTGCACGACTACGACGTGAAAAATTAGTCCCAATGCGCGTTTTGCGAAGGACGTTAACCGGCACTGACGATAAATTTTTTATTCCCTTTTTTAACTTGGCTAACATGTCCATAGAAATTCAACTACTCCACGTAAAGTCACCTACGTTTCACATATCAAAGGAGA